GTTCCAGCTACTTGGCAGGCTGAGGCGGAAGGATGGCCGGAGCCAGCAGGTTGAGGCTGCAGTGGCCATGATGGTACCACTGCACTCCAGCTGGGCAACAGAGTGAGATTCCCACTCAAAAAAACAAAAAAAGAATGTACCATTCAGTGGGAATGTCTGCTCATGGCATAATTCAGGGTTGGTCTTTGATGGACTTGGCTAACGTGAGTCCATCCCCAAGAGACTGCCCACCTCTCAATGTTACGAGGAAATGAGTTCCCAGCTCTTTCTCAGTTACCGGGCCGTGCTTGGGCGCAGACGGGCAAACGGCACCAACATGCCGGTGGACCGGAGCTGGGTTTGCCGCAAAACCTACGTGACCCCACGGAGACCCTTTGAGAAATCCCGACTGGACCCAGAGCTGAAGCTGAAGTACGGGCTCCGGAACGAACAGAGGTCTGGAGGGTCAAGTTTACCCTGGCCAAGATCCGCGAGGCCGCCCGGGAGCTGCTGACGCTGGACGAGAAGGACCCGGGGCGTCTGTTTGCAGGCATCGGGGCGCGATGAAGCCGGGTTGCATCCTGGCCTGAAGGTCAAGGATTTCTTGGAGCCTGCAGACCCAGGCCTCCAATCCCATCCATCCCGCCGGTGTGCTGATCCGCCAGCGCCGTCTCAGGGCCCGCAGGCCGCCAGGGAACGCCCCGTCCTCACTGTCCACCCGGATTCCCAGAAGCACGTTGACTTCTCCCTCAGCTCTCCACACGGGGGTGGCCACCTGGACCGCGCCAAGACCAAGCACGCCAAGAAAGGCCAAGGTGGGGCCTCCTGGACAGGTGGGTGGTCTGGTTTTACAGTCAGAGAATAAAGGAGGATCAACACTTTTTAAAACATTTTTAAATAGAAATAAAAAAGAAATGCGTTCCTAGATTTGTCAAGGTGGTCTCCAGACCCTAAAGGACAGTGACCCTCCATCTCCCCTCATGATTTCTCCATCTCCATACTTTCCTGGCAATGCTGTGGCCTACATTGTTCTCCAAGAGCCTTGAGAAGCCTGGTCTTTGTTTCCAGAAGAAGAGCGTTCTAGCTCTGAATTATATTAACTCTGTCGGACACCTAGTGTTATCCTTGCTCAACAGCTTTTTCTCCCGTGGCCTCAGTTTCTGAACAGTGTTAATTTACTGACTCATAGCCGGGCTCGGTGGTTCAGCCTGTAATCCCGCGCCTTTGGGAGGCTGAGGTGAGTGGATTGCCTGAGCCCGCGGGTTCGAGACCCGCCTGGGAGGCGAGACCTCATCTCTACAATAAATCAAAAAATCAGCCGGGCGTGGTAGCACGTGCCTGTAATTCGGCTACTCGGAATGCTGAGGCGGAAGGATCGCCAGAGCTCAGCAGGTCGAGGCTGCAGTGGCCGGGAGCGGCCACTGCACTCCGGTCTGGGCGACAGAGTAAGACTCCAACTCAAAAAAAAAAAAAATTTACTGACTCACAAGCTTAATCGTTGGTTTGGTCTGCCCAGCACTGAGGCTCAGACTCCCAACCAAGGTTCATCAGACAGCATGACAGACAGGATAAACTGACACACAGAGCTGAGCTTACAAAGGCTCAGAGCTGCCTCTCTGACATGCCACCTTACCACCATGGCAGAGCACTACATAGTTGCACAGCCAGGATCCCATGCTTTCTGCTGCATTCTCACTCCTTTGACTGAGCTTCTCCTTCTTTGAATAAAACTGAAATAGATCTACTTCGTTTTGTCAGACGACACTATTATCTGCTGTCCTAGCAGCTTGGGAGAGCAGACTTTCATGGTGGCCTCACTGTCTGATGGGAATAGTCCAACTCCAGCAGTTTCTTGGGGGAGGAGCAGCCTGTGCCTGAAGGGTCACACTGGGGCTGCATGGAATTGGACTGATTTTAGATCTGTTAGGACTGCACTTCCCAGCCTTGGTTGCAGATGAGAATCACCCGGTAGGCTTTTTAAAACATACCAGTTTGGTGACTCAGCCTGTAATCCCAGCACTTTGGGAGGCCGAGGCGAGTGGATTGCCTGAGCTGCTTTCGAGACCAGCCCAGGCAACTTGGTGAGACCTCATTCCCCGAAGCTACTCACTGGGAATATATAAGAGATAAGGGGAAGTGCACCCTCCATTAGCTCTAAGGAATATCATTCAGGAAGGTTCAGGAGCACTAGAATCCTTGTCACGCTCTTCTCTAGGGGCTATGATAATATGGACAGACATTAATGAGCCTCTGTGTCACAGGGTCTCCAAGATATCTGAAGGTGGTCAATAAGGAAGTCACAGCATGCCGGGCTCGGTGGCTCAGCCTGTAATCCTGTGCCTTTGAGAGGCTGAGGTGAGTGGATTGCCTGAGCCCACGGGTTCGAGACC